CTGGTGCTGCTGCAGGTAGTATTGAAACTTGAAAGTTGAAACTTGAAACTTGAAAGCTGAAACTGCTTGCCTCCAACGAAACAGGACAAAAAAACAAACAATCCTGCACAGAGAGAGAGAGAGAGTGAGAGAGAAAGAGAGAGAGAGAGAGAGAGTTGGGTGGGGGGGTTGGTCCTCGGGTTGGTCCTCGGTGTTCAGATCCCAAGGCAACACACCAAAAAATATATATATATATCGTCACAAACAGAAATATATATATACGTATGCTGTGCGCACCGCGCGCATATGTGGCCCCGCAGCGCGCACCCCCCAGCGCACCCCCGCACCGCGCATCGACCCTGTGCGCAGCGCACCCGGGTGCGCGGTGCGCGCCGGTGCGCGCACATCTCGGGGTCGCGCAGCGCACAGGGTCGATGCGCCACAAGTATGGTTGATTCCCTTTTTTCACATACTCTTCGTCAACCAACTACGGCAGCAGACGGTCTAGATCTTTAACATCTCTATTCAAGAGGTGTGAGAGAAATATTGACACTCCTTTGTTTCCGCTTGTCACCTTCCCGCGCCGGAGAAGTTCTTTCTTTCTCTCTCTCTCTCTCTCTCTCTCTCTCTCTCCACAACTGTATATGGACACATACACAAGAGATAAACGATGTGTGCCGTAGATAGGATTCTGTGCATCTGTTCAAAATATCAACCAGGTTCATTCCCTGCGAGTCCTGGTAAGCGTTCTGTCACGAGGGCCATAATGGCCACCTACTGTGATCTTCGTATCTCTTCATTTCTTCACCCCAACGATCTGCGGGTCAGACGGTTGACATGGCGGTCCCGCTGTTCTTCATTCTTCTTTCTTTCCACCATCTTCAGCCTTTCCTCTCTCATTTTCTCATTCGAGTTCCTTTCAATTCCATTTTGGTTTTTGTGCAGGCTGATAGAATGAAAATATTTCTTAAATGATACTCACCCAAGCCTCCTGCAAACAATACGCCAGTGGCAAACCACCGACTCCCAATTTCCAGCATGAAAATTTCGCTCTATCATAGCTATCAGCGGGTAAAGGAGCCTTGTCCCAAAGGCACAATTACACCACACGTCTGCTATATTACCATCCACTAACAGGTGCAAAAAATACTGCCCTGTCATATTGTCATCTCTTGAGCATACTCAAGAGAAGCAAACACATCAGTGCCAATACATTTTCGATCGCATCATCGTACAGCATAACCATGCATTCTCTGCCTAAGGGATGGACAGGCTAAGACATGACCTCTGCCACAGGACCCTCCACCTGCTGCCATCTTCATCCAAATAGAACGCCCAGTTGTTAGAGCTGCACTTGGTGCAACTTTCAGTCAGATCCAGCGATAATTACAGGCCGTTTTATCTGGGTGAAGAAGGTAGGATGCAAAGAGAACATGGAGGTACAGCATGCCTCGCACCTGAGGTGAGTGGCTTGAATTCACGATGGCACAGACCCTTCTTCCTCCCTTTCACAAAAGGGGTTTGTTGCATGGGAGTGGGAGCAGTTGTGCACGCAACTTGTTGATTATCATGTGAACATAACACCCCAGTTACCCGACGCTACCAATTGTTTATCAATGACGATTATTATTGCTGCATATGCATGATTCATATAACTCTACAGAAAGACACGTCCCCCTTTCCCACAATCAAACTGCCACCAAAACAGCTCCTGCATCTTTAGGAATTTGAAGTTTTGATAATTGAATCTTGAAAGCTTGATCCCTGCATTTTGCGTAAATGACACGAGGGGAAAAAAAAAGGCCCCATTAATCTAGGCAGCGTTTACGGGCACCCGGGCACCCAACTTACGCCTGGATACACGCCCGGGTGCCTGGCCGGGCATGACCCCCGGGCAGGGTTCCGGGCAGGCCCAGCACAATTGGGAAAAAAAAAAAAAAAATACCGGAAAAAAACATGTTGTGTAGAATTGCAATACAAACGACTTTTGGCTGAGGGTCACATCAGAATTCCACACAGAATCCCCAAAAAAAAAAAAAAAAATCCACACAGAATCGGAGATAAAAAATAAAATAACACAATCACACTGAGGCACCCGCCTTTCCTTCAGACCCTTTAAAACCTACGTAGCACCGTGTTTGTGTTCGGAGGCGAACGCGAACCATGTTCGGCCGAACGCGAACAAGTGTCCAAAACCCTCCGAACGCGAACATAAAAAATATTAAAAAAAAAAGAAAAAAAAGGTTCTTAGAAAAATCTGAAAAAAATATATGTTATGTAAAATAACAATACAAGCAACTTTTGCCTTGAGAGTCATGTTCATTCGCGTTCGGAGGCGAACACGAACATGTTCCCCCGAACGCGAACAAGTGTCCAAAACCCTCCGAATGCGAACATAAAAAATATTAGAAGAAAAAAGAAAAAAAAGGTTCTTAGAAAAATCTGAAAAAAATATATGTTATGTAAACCAACATTACAAGCAACTTTTGCCTTGGAGTCATGTTCAAATTCGTAGCCAATCATGAGTTAAAAATCAAAAACCGAAAAAAATATATTATTTTTTACGAAAAAACATTTATGTTCGCCCAAACGTGAAGGGGCGCAAACACGTTCGCCATGCTACGCAGTTTAAAACTAGGCGTAGCCAATCATGTTGAAGAAGAAGAAGAAGATCTCTCTCTCTCTCTCTCTCTCTCTCTCTCTCTCTCTCTCTCTCTCTCTCTCTCTCTCTCTCTCTCTCTCTCTCTCCCCCCAACTAAGTCCCTTACCTTGTTGAAGGTGGCCGTTGGTGGGTGACGGCGGGGTCACGCGCGATGACGGGTGTTGGCAGGTGCTGGCGGGGTGCGTTGAAGTTGCGCGTCGAAGGCTGGCGGACACACAGTGCTGCAAGGCAGGGAAGGGGGGACGTTGGGGGCACATCTTCAGCATGGGGGAGGGAACGGGGGCTGGTATTTCCCACCCTCACCGATTTGAAATCGGTGCAATCTGGGCCGTCGATCTTCGAGATCGACGATCCAGATGGGGCCCGATTTTCAAATCGGTGAAATTGGGCCTACCGGCCCCGTTTTTTTTTTTTTTTTTTCGCGGTGAAAGGGGACAAAAAGGGCACCAACCCCCAAAAAAAAAAAAAAACACTAACCTACAGTGATGGGTTGGGCGCCCGGTTGCCAACCGGGCACGACAACCAGCCAGGCGGCCCGGCACCCCCCCCGGCGACGGCCAGGCAGCCTAGGTTTAAAACCAATTCATACCCCCCTTCCTCCCCCTTGACAGCCAACTCTCAAAAAAAGAAATGAGCCCGGATTTGGGGTCCTCTGGGAGAACGCAGAAAACCCTTTTTTAGTTTTTTTTTTTGTGTGCCCGGGTGCCAGGCTGGGCAGGACCGGCTGGGAGTGACAATCTTCCTAGCCCCTATAGTGATAACCAACCTGAATGACGCCCTCCACAATAGAAGGGGCTGTGCTTTTTTTTTCAAAAAACAAAAAAGAAGAAGAGAAGAAGAATAATGGAATACCTAATATAATTTACTAAAAAGCAAAAACAACAAAAAAAATGCAGTACCCACAGTACTGCACATACGCTAGCGTCGTGTGCGCACCAGAGCGCACCACGCACAGCAGAATAGTGCCGCGCATCACGCACCTATTCGAACTGCGCGCGCATCCGTAGTTGGCGCAAGCACCACACCACATCGCGCACCATATCAGTGAGCCACAAATATGGCTGAGAGAGATTATTATTGGTTCAACTCGTGTTCTGGACTCCCTCTCTCTTCATCTTCTCTACATATCCCTCTTTTCCCTCATCATCTACGGCTGTCTCCCCATGTGTGTGATCCGCCAGCAGGGATTTCCGTCTATGTGTGGTTCCCCTCCTGGCTGCTTTGAGGGATGGTGGTGAATGCAGGTCCAGCACAGAGGGTGGTAGCATGAGAATGCCATGAAATGAGAGGGCCTGACAGGGAGTCGATCCCACCTCTCAAGGGGAGTCTCATCAGAAACAGCCATTGTTCTTCGTTCCTCGGAAAAAAAAAAAAAAAAAAAAAAAAAAAGGGCATACCAAGCTCCGAACGTGATTGCCTCACAGATTCACCCACACTTGCCAGAACCTGTCTCTTATACACATCTAGATGTGTATAAGAGACAGGTCGTTGATTAATCTGATCGGCGGCCGTCGTTTCGTTTCGGCCTCCTGAAAGGTCGGAGGAGGCCCACTATTATCCGAACCGACGAAGGTACTAAACTGTAAGGANAAAAAAAAAAAAAAAAAAAAAGGGCATACCAAGCTCCGAACGTGATTGCCTCACAGATTCACCCACACTTGCCAGAACTGCAGTCAGATACATTTAGGAATGTGCTAGCGTGAAAACGCCCTCAAATGGTATGAGCCCATTGGACAAGGCGCCGGGTTCGTTTCCAGAAACAGGACAAAGCCTCGTTCAACACGCAAACTTCTTTTTTTCTTCTCTTTTTTTTTGGCCAGCTTTTCCCCCCCCCCTTTTTTTGCATTTTGCTTTCTGTTCTGTCTGCAGTAGTGTTTCCACTAGCGCGGATGAACCTGTAGGACAATATGCAGGACATTTGCAAATTTCAGTGGGGCCCACGAGCTTTGTGCCCCGCTGCACTGCCAGGGCTTCCCCAAGCCGCAAAAACTTCGGAGAGGCTCATTTTGGATTCTCAGACTGCCCGGGGCCATGTACCGGATGTTTGACACATCCTAATCCATAGCCACCTATGTCTTCCTGCACATGCACACGCACATGCATGCACATGCACATGCACACGCACATGCGCACACACAAACACACACACATGCGCACACACAAACACACACACATGCGCACACACAAACACACACACACACACACACACACACACACACACACACACACACACAATATGAAGGCCAGCCAATGTGGACAATTAGGAAAGGGAAGATAATGGAAAGAGGAGGAGCTTAGACAGTAAAACGATGATCCCAATACATCAGCAGAGGCATCGTCCATCTGATTTGCTGCTCACCTTAAAGCCTCGTCAAGATCCCAAGGAAAGTTTGTGGCCGCCAATACCATGACTATCTTCTTCTCTCCATCATCACCTGTGCTACTGTTACACCCATCAATCTGAACCAGGAGTTCTGATTTGACCCTTCTACTAGATTCATGCTCCCCAGCCACCCTGCAAGAATCGTTGAGAATTCAAACCTCGGTAAGTGCTTCCTTGGACGCTCCCCTCACACGAGAACCAATTCATGAGCACAGGATCCTGTAGAAGAGGCCCTTTGCCAAAACAACAATGAGAAACCATCCTAAATTTTACACCACTTCAAGAAAGTACTGCTGACAAATATAAGTTGTTAGAATCAAGAGAACAGAACAGCAGCTATCTATTCCTAGAGGTCAGAACCATCAACATCAGAAAGAGACAAAAGTAAACAAGAGAAACAGAAGGCCAATGGTCACCGTCAAGCATAGCCATTGCTACTAAGGGCAGGGGCAGATCACAAGTTGCAATGAGAAGCACGACTGCACGGTCAAATTGAGGCACACTTGTCCTTCGTTTAAATCTCAAGCGAAGGAAGGAAAGTCGTAAACATAAGAGAAGTAATTGCACCTTGTTGAGCAGCATAGCTTGCCAAAGATTGAGAGAAGGTTAACAACAGTCGTATTTTTCATCACCACTTCAGGATGCAGCCTGCCTAAACAGGTGGTTTTCAGGGTCTTCGGACTTTTCACCACTTCAGGACCATTCAGGATTTTCAGACTGCCCAAAACTCTCACTTCAGAATTTTCATTCCTGAATTTTCAGCTACCAGATAACCAAAAGAAAGGGAAAAAATGTGCAAAAAACTGGCATCCATCCCTCCTCCTCGTCCTCGTCCTCCATCTTTCCGCCACCTCCTCCTCCTCGACTCCATCCCTCTCCTCGTCCCTCCTCCAACTCCTCCTCACGCTCAGCCCTCCTCCTCTTCTCCTCCTCCCACTGGCGAACCGAACTGGGTGTTCGTTGTCAGCAAGGAAGGCAGGGGGGGGGGGGGGGGGGGGGGGGGGGGGGGGGGAGGGGGGAAAGGAATTGGAAAGGCATGGCATCCATCTCCCCTCCTCCTCAACTCCATCCTGCCATCCCTCCTTGACTCAATCCCTTCTCCGCCTCGACTCCATCCCTCCTCCTCCTACAGGCAGTCGACCTGCCATGACAATGAGGAAAAAAAACAAACAGAAACAGTCCGGAAAGAACCGGCAGCGCCTCCTTGACCTCATCCCTCCATCGATCCTCCTCCTGAACTCCATCCCTCCTCGACGCCATCCTACCATCCTCCCTCCTCGACGCCATCCTACCATCCTCCCTCCTGGACTCAATCCCTACTCCACCTAGACTTCATCTCTCCTCCCCTCCTATGTGCGGACCTGCCATGACATCAAGAAGGGACAAGACAAAAAAAAAGGTTTGGAAAGAACAGGCACCTCCTCCTCGACTGCATGTCTCCATCACTCGTCCTCGACTTCATGTCTCCATCACTCCTTGACTTCATCGCTCCATTGCTCCTCCTCTGCATCCCTCTCCTACTCGACTCCATCCCCCTTCCTCCTCGAATTCATCCTACCATCCCTTCACTCAATCCCTCCTCCGCCTTGACTCCATCCCCCCTCCTCCTACCGGGGGAAGACCTACCATGATGACGAGGAACCAATAAAAAGAACCAGCACCTCCTCCTCGACTTCATCCCTCCATAACTAGTCCTCAGCTCTATCCCTCGTCCTCCTGGATTCCATCCTGGCATCCCTCCTCCTTGACTCCATCCCTACTCCTTGACTCCATCCCTCCTCCACCTCAACTCCATCCCTCCTCCACCTCGACTCCATCCCTCCTCCACCTCGACTCCATCCCTCCTCCACCTCGACTTTCATCCAATCCCTCCTCGACTTCATCCCTCCTCCTCCTCGATTCGATCTCTCCTCCTCACTGTCTCCATCCATCCTTCTCCTCCTCTCGACTCTATCTCTCCTCCTCCTCTACTCCATCCCTACTCCTCGACTCCATCCCTCCTGAACGGCTGGGTGCAGGCTATGCCGATGGCAACAAAGACTGCTTCAAGCTCGGCAGCAGCTCCAACTAGATGGGCGACAGCAGCTCCGATGAGTTGGCAGCAGCAACTCGAAGTGGCGGTCAAATTTGAACTCCGTCCTGCCTTACCAGCATCATTCGAAATTTTTCCAGGTGGTGGAAAATTTTCCAACATCGTCCTGGGTGCCCCTTTTTTTTTTCAAAAGTTGTGGGTGGGTGGGCCAATCCGGACACCCAAAACCGAACACCCAACCCAGACATCCAGATCCGGTACATCTGGATTGCGATCCATACATCCTGGCAGTAGCCATGCATAAAAGTTTGTCACAACTTCCAAGCTTTTTTCTCGAAGCCCTTCTGTAGGTCATGTCATGCAGCGATTTAGAAATAATCACAGATCCACTACGTCAAAGTCTAACCCCAGATTCACCACTACTGCAACGAGACAGGAATGCCCACGTCCGACTAGAAAACCCTTCCAACTTCAATGCACACAGAGAGATTTGATTGCTTAGTATTTCACTTTGACACAATCCGTTAGCTCGTGAAAAAGTAGACAACAAAAAAGCAGAGCGCTGAGACAAATAAGAAAGAAAACACAACAAAAAAGCTTGCCCATTTTTAGCGAAAGTGTGGCCAGCACATGCAGATCATGCATCAGAAGAAGTGAAACTCGAATACCTCAGTTCACATGGTCCACTGCCCATTCAGTAACCCATCACCTGAATTCATACGCTTGATCATTCTCGGAAGAATACCATGCAAATCTCCTATACCCTTTTTACCAACTGGCTCACAAATATCCACCACCCCTCTTCTGGACATTACACCACTTCATTTTTGAAAGGCTCTCGCACATCATAAGTTGCTCCACAGACTGAGAATTTGGAAACGTGTTTCAAGGTTTAAACTGCTTTTCCTCTTCTCCAGATTTGGATCCTCCACATCACTCCACAAATTGTCATTTATACATGCCCAGGAAAAGGCAGCCCTTTTTAGCCTTTCTGAGATTTCTAACACACAGTGAGTTTAATTTGTTGTTGTTGTTGAGGAGGAGGAGGAGGAGGAGGAGGAGGAATAAGGACAGTGGATAATAGCAAGTCTTATCACATACACATTGTAAGGAATAAAATGATGTCAACAGCATGTCACCCACCCTCTGGATGTACATAGTGCATCAATCTCATCAATGAAGATGGTACTCGGGGCATATGCTCGTGCCATATCAAATAGGCATCGAACCATACGCTCAGACTCTCCACGCCACTTTGATGCCAAGGTCGATGAAGAGACATTGAAAAAAGTCGACTCACACTCTGTAGCAACTGCCTTGGCAAGCAACGTCTTTCCTGTTCCTGGCGGCCCAAACATCAAAACGCCCTTCCATGGTCTTCGGATGCCCTGCCCGCAAGTGAATATACGACATAATGATGCTTTCCTTTTTTATATACATGAAAATTTGAGAACACAGTTCACCAGATTTCCGCTTCAGAGAACAAAGATATGTCCACGCCACATGCAGGAGACTAGAAAGTTCACAATTGGTCTTGCACATTAAAAGCCCAGACTTCATGGGTGATCTCGACATTAACAGAAATGAAACAGTTATGGAGCATGAGCATCTTTTTTCCTAGTTCTCTTCCGTGTTGGTCCTTCCTTCCTCCGTGTGTGTTGTTTTAAAGGACCCCAGATTCTCTCTCTCTTATTCCCTTCACAGATCATCACAAGCCATCCATAACGAAAAAGTATAGATAGGCAATGTAATAAAAGGTTGGCCACGTTCGTGTGGTTCAGCGCCAAGTGCCCACACACCTGTCTGCCGCCAAAGCGGCACACTTGCACATATACATATGTATTCATATATATTTCAAACCATAAACGGATGCCAGGAAGCAGGCAACTTACCTAAGACAAAAGACTACTCCAGCAAGAAGGCACCGACCCCACACCCTCAAAGGTCCAAAAACACTTGGAGAGCCTTCCGCACCGGCCCACAAAACCAAAAACTCATTTATAAAAAAAAAACAAGTATAACAGCATTGGCATTCCCGACAATCATCTCAATGTGTGTTTGCACGAGAGAGAGCAGGGGAGACAGGAGAGAGAGAGAGAGAGACGAAAGTTATGGTAAACGAGCGTCCGTTTTCCCCCTTTTCTTCCATGTGGGTCCTTCCTCTGTGTGTGTTTGTGCGACAGAGAGGGGAGAGAAAGAACACAAGAGAGACAGACAGACAGACAGAAAAACAGCCATAGAGAGAGCGAGAGAGAAATGTCGGATGTTGAAAGGCAGAGGTATTTCTGTGCATCTACTCAGCCATCAAGACAACTGGGACTCCACTGAGTATGTGCAGGGAGGATGGTGAGAGGCTTTGAGTTTTCTCAATTATATGAAGCAACCAGCCATGCCTAAGAAATAGGTGACACCCGTAGCAGAAATAATAAAAAGTTTTGTCATCACCAAACCCACAGACATATGCCCTACCCAACCCAGCAGTCTATTACTACTTACACCCTACACACAGTTACCAGAAGGGCAGCAACAGCCAGCAAAGAGAGGAAATTCAGGGTAAGAGTCTCAAGCCACAACGAGGGAAAGTACAACGTAGTAGACAAACTAGCTAAATAGGATAGGGTTTAGGGTTTTAGCACCCGGTAGAACCGGTTAAAGACATTTATAAATTAGATATATTAGGCACCAGAAACACTTATAGACGGCAGAAACTAGAAGAGGGAAGATATAGGAACAGGTAGCCCTAAAAGGGAAGGACAGGTCAGCAGTTCCAGTACTTAACGTGAATCCGACAGTCAAAGGACTGAGAGGAACAGGTGAAGAGGGGTTTCCTTTCCAAGTTTTTCAACCAGGCACTAGCCACCAATTAAAAGTAAATAGGCTAACTCAGGCAGGGGTGGGGGCTGGTACAGCCTTCTGGCGAGAAGTAATCAATGCCGGCCCTCGGACTTTCCTACCATAAAGGGGAAGAGCGTGTGTGTGTCGTTCATGTATTCCAATCGACTTGCCGGTGGAGTAGGAACCGGACTGATGCCCCCCAGAATGGAAAAGGGGCCAGAACCATAAGGTTCTGTTTTCGGAAAAAAAAAAAAAAAAGGGATAACAGAAAAGCAGTCCTCAAAACTCCCCAATCACCAGTCACCCAGTGATGGATACTCTTATCATGACATAGGATGAACCAGAACGAGACTGAGACGGACAGACAAACATTAGGGGTGAAATGGGTGATTGTACAAACGCTGATAGATGCAGTTGACAGTCGAGCAGATAAACAGTCTGATAAAGTTTGCCAGACGATGGCCATGATAATATTCATACATAGTTTTCCAGATTCACATGGTCTACCAGTCAGTGCCTGAGAGAATAATGCCCTGAGTCTGTCACATCTGCTGAGAGAATAATGCCCGTGACGCATTGCTATGTGGGTCACTACAGCCCAATCCCTCCCGATGCTATTTTCTATACTAGCCACTTCTGTGTTAGGTGTAAACATAGTACTCGACGCCATACGGTGTTCTGCCAATACTTCCGGAGTGTTTTATACACTGAACACCCCTGGGTATATGGTGATCCCCATCCATCTATGGTGTTACCTATCCAATGATGATCGCCAGTCTCTTCTCTCTTTTAGTTGTCTCACACACTGCCTCAGTACACCTAACTGAGTGATAAATCTCGGTCCTTTTCTGGTTCAGCGGGATTTAAGGATCTAGTCCCATTATGCTGCTATTGATGCGAATGTAGCGTGTGCTGCTAGTCCATTAAAACAAAGTCAATTGGAGTGACAACTCAAGGTTTAGGTTATGGAAAGCCCTCAACCTTACATAGTTTTAACCACCAATACTTGGCCCATACATCAGCCGTGGGCCCTTGACGTTACCGCGCCATGTTAGCCGGGCTTCGGGGCTACCGGACCACAACGTCTGGCGGCGCCAGCCAAAAAGTCATGCTGGCGGTTCGGCAAAGCTTGGTGTGCAGGCCATTTGCAGGCTCAGCATCAATAGCTGGGCGAAGTACTGGTGATAGCTGGGCGAAGTACTGGTGGTTTTACAATTACCCAGTCTTATTAATAGTTATTATTATAACCAAGACAAGAAGATTTCGATTCAAGTCGAACGTCGCCTACTGGATCCCCACCTCCACATACCGTTCAGCTAGCGAAGCTAACACTTGTTTAAAAGTTTGCTGTGCACTCGTTTAATAGTTTGTTGTACCTGAGGCTAACACTTGTTCAATAGTTTATTGTGCCTTTCTTCACTCCATCAATAGTTTATTGTGCCTTTCTTCACTCCATCATCCTGCCAGAATTTCCATAGTTGCACATTACATGGAGGGGTGCAGGAGTCTACTGAGCATTGCAGGACATGCGGCTTTGTGGCTGCCTGCACCCAGTTTCACAGCGCCCATTTCATGTCCTATGGCGTTTAATAAGGGGAACTTCCACCTTGGAGTGAACCCTACTGCGCCAATGCAAGTGGCATTATTGACTATGGTCAACTAGCACCCCTTCATCAAAAGTGCAGGTTATCGATGGTGCAAAGACATTCACTAATGGTAGGCAACATGCATGAGGATGTCCCCTCATGACTGCAATCCCTGTTAAGTTGGAAGCAGCCAATGGTCCTGCCGATAGAAACGATCACCGACAGAGAAGGCCAACAGGGTAAGCCTGAAGCAGAAGTTGGTACTGCCAACAGAACATGATTTACGACAGAGAGGACCAGCAGGTTTCACCGACTTGGCAGACGAGGCTCCTTCACGGTACATCATTCTGCGCTGACGTTTGGCTATAGCGCCCATGGCAACTGGCTGATGCCCAAGGCAATCAAGCTGAATCGACAACGAGATGCTAACGTAGACGGAGAGGTATCACAAACCTCTCTTGGACCCCAGCAATTTTTACATCAGTTCAAGTGACCAGAGCTGTTGCGTTGAGATCCGCAACTGCCAAAAGACTGCAAATGAGTATAAAAGTGCTATATACAAGTTGTGTGTGGAATACAACAGGAGTGCTTGGGTGCAGAGACGCTACATGCAAATAGCTCGTGAGCGTAGGGATCCGGAGAACTGGCTGCAGAGGGCACAATACGTAGGTAGTGAGCAAACGGCAAGAAATAGGGATCAGGCAGGATGTACTCAGTAAATGGCAATACGAGAGAAGAGCGGATAGAGTGCCTAGAGTGCAAGCTAGAGATAATTCAAATATTGGCAGAGAGCAGTAACCGCATTTACATAGCAACATCATTCTGCAAATATGAAACCAACACAGAAAGATGACATTATCAATTAAACAGACTGAAATCAACAACAGTTTGAAAATTTCAACAGAATGGCATCATTACTTGTTTCAGCTTTTCAAAGTCATTAAAGTTTCTTCGATTTGAATAAATCTATTGCATTTAATCCCATCTAAAGCCATTTGCTTCGAATACATATATTGCATTTAATCCCATCTAAAGCCGTTTCTTTCTCTTTCTCTGATCTGCTAAAGATTGCGCACTCATGGTCTCCTTCCCCTGCCTTTTTTGTTCTCTTTTTGCCTCCTTCCCTTTTCGGTGTGTTGCCGGCATGACACCTGTTCCTCACTAGCAAATGTGAGCTAAGGTGCAAATACGCTGTAGATGAAGAAGTCTATACAAGCCGATGAAGAGCCCAACACCTGGATCTGTACTCGGGTTTATCTCCACGCCTCGTTAAGGGGGGTACAAAAGAGGCATTTTCGAGTGAGGTTTGGTAAAACATGGCACTTACCAGCTACCCTCACTCTCCCCCCCCTCTCTTTCCATCTCTCTATCTTCCTAACTCCCTTTCCCCAAGCTCTGTTCGGCCTCCTCTTACACCAGCCTTAACCCAGGCCATCAGCCAGCCACATCTGTACCAGACCGGGAATCAGCACACTGATTCCATGCCAAAGAGCAACTAGCACCCCTGTTCAGGTGCTGAAGCTTTTTGGGCTTGCCACACCTCTTCTCCTAGCGTCTTAACCCAGCCACATCGCACTCATCATGAATGTATACAAGAAATCTTTCCGCTCACAACAAGGCGGCGTTGTGTCCGGGAGAAGACTACCGTTCCAGTTACGACAAGGCCGCATTGTGTCCCGGGGGAAAACTCAGCCCTGGAAGGCATAGATGCCATCCCCAGAACCGCAGACGTTCTTATGCCCTCAGCTTCGCTACTGGAGGATAGGCTGGCACTTTGTGAGGCAACTAAAAAGTGTGACTCTATCTGCAGCCAAGCGCCAGTCATGCTAAAGCTAGTGGAATGTTAAGTCCTGCACAGTGCTCCCTACAAGAAGCTTGGAGGCTCAACGTCTTTTTAACAACATGCCAAGGGAGAGCAGGGTTCATTCAGGACCGCTGTGAGAGAGAAGACTCTCTCTCACGGGTTGATTCACAAATCCTCCTCTTTTACATAACCCGCTTTCCGATTGTGTACACTGTTCCTGGCCACTGGTGGCAGTATTACAACGAGAGTAAGTGCATGGCAGAATTTTCAGTCGTGGACCACACCACAGCACAAGACAACAGAAAACAAGTTCATCAAATTCAAAAGCTAAGCAGCTCACTGCTTAGAAAAACTGACAAAGAAAAGGGGGGGGAGATGAAAGCCTCTGAAACATGCACACATTAAGTTATACCTGGAAGAAGAGTGGCATCCATAGCGGCAAGACAACAGCTTCTTCAAGTAACCTCTTTGCCTCCGTGAGACCTGCAATGTCTGTCCACCTCACCCCAGGACTCGTTTCGACAACATCTCTTTCAAGCATCGCAGCAAGCTCTTGGTCTGGACCTTCATATCTTCCTCTTACAGGTCTCTTATCCTCATCGCTTGCCCCCTGCTATGCGGTCAGCAAGCACGAAGAGATCTGCATGTCATCTCAATTAACATCATTATCATTATCATTATCGCTATTATTTCCAAAAAGAATCCTTACCCACCTTCTGCACAAATGGTACACACTTGTGTGTGCTGTAGCCCTTTGTACACAGATCACAAAGATCATGGGCACGAGTTCTGGTGATGCAATAAAGTTAGGGGTTACCTCCCTGTTCTTCTAAACAAAAAAAGGACATCTTTCATTATTACACCGCGATGATTGATAGGTGGGCAGAGGCAGGACGAACAGGAGGTCAAAGATAGCATATTTAATACTGTTATTATTAATCAGACGGGTACCAAAACCAAAAAGGCTGTGACGGGAGCTTCAAGAGCTTCAAGACTCTTAAAACTCTAGGACATAAATACACAATGCCTGCAGAAAGAGAAAAGAAGGTAAAAATAAGGATGTGATATCGAGGTCTCTTGCAAGTCACTCGTGTGGCAAATGATGTGAGAAATGGCTTGAAAAACTGACTGAGAAGGCTGGTATAACAAGCACCTGTGTATTCCATCACGAGGCACGAGACAGGCAAACACAGCGCATTCCTCTGTGAGTGACAAAGGAGTCGCTTCTTCAGTCTGACTTCCAAAGCTTCAGCAAACGCAGTGCATTTCCCTTTTCTCTTGTTTCCTCAATCGACGACATGAAGACAACACCCCAACCACTACTGCGCTTGTGTTCCCCACACAATTCACTTACCTTCGGCATAACCGCATAGCGGGGACCTGGTCACCATGCATCTCACGTCGGGATTCGAGCTCGCAATCTGTTCATTAACAGTGGCATGTGTGTACAATTCAGCCACATGGGCTGTGGGTCCTGCAGTGTCTGTTTTATGCGCTCGCTGAACAAGTTTATGTGCTCTTCGTTATACACGCTCCATGAGAACAGGACGATCTCTGACTGACTGAACACTTCATCCAAACCGCACAAGACAACAGAAGCGGTGTGATCACACCCCATGCAGAGAAGAGTGGCCATTATTAGACCAACCAAGGAGAGCAGTTTGGCGCAAATTGCTCAGATATATAAATACATATAAACAACCAAGCATATGTAGCTCAGAAGCAAAATCCGGTGAATGCTGCAGGGATAAGAGACTTACCGTTGAATCCCTCCGCGGCGGAGTTGATCGAGCACTCGACACTCCTCCTCCCCCTTTTCTGCTCCCCACTCTTGCACCAGCTCGGGTTCCGGTCCCAAATGAGTTGCCATCCCCTCCTCTCCCCGAGGTCCCAACAGCCCCCCCCCTGGCACCCCTCAGGCCAGATGCGGACACCCCACCAGACCCCTTGGCGTCAGCTGCTCGGCTCCCTGATACTCTTGAGGGCCACCTTCCATCTCCATCCGCCCCTGCATACCTGTCGAGACGCCGCCCAGCACCGCCACCTGTCGCCCCCGACATGACCCTCCCGGGTCGTCTGCCCATCGTGATCGTAGGCGCTGCCTCCCTCGATGGGGGTCTCCAGACGTCCGGATCGTCGTAGTTGTACTCCTCCACGGGGAAGAGCATCTGTTGGCGGTTCGTTGCACGAGGAGATGGCAACCGAAGCCCAGATCCTGGCAGCTCTTTAAATGCTAACCTCTCAAGATCTATCTGTTTCACGATATCAAACTCCTCCGCCAGGTCCTCCTTGCACTTTATCCATTTCTGTCGAATGACAGGATCGTCTACTGTACGCAGATGTCTGACACTCCACCATCACAACCCCTCGCATCGCGTCGACATTATCCCCGCATGCAAGCAACAAAACACACACACACACACACACAAACACACACACACACACACACACACACACAAACACACACACACACACACACACACAGAGCACACGAAACACACAGAGCGCACAAAACACAAAAAACGGACCCAATCCAGTAACCGTCACTTTTTTAGAGCACTTAATTTAATAATTTCTCCATTTCTTTCCCCTTTTTGGTTTTCTTTTCCCCTTCCAATAATATTCCTTCGCAGGAACTCGTCCTGCTCCTTCAACTCGTTCTTTACGCCAATGATGTTAGAGTCATTGACACAGGCTTGTCACTGGTCAGAAGATTTGAATGGGCCCTGAGGGACTCGTTCCACCGCTCACCAAATGCAAAAATAACGAGTGCATCTTACAAAGGAACGTGGCACGATCCACGCACCATTTGCACAACTTGCGAGTGGCCAAACGAAGTTCTTAGCTTAAGGCAGTTGGGAGATACCAAGCATGTATACATTCATATAAATGATGTGCAATCATACCTTTCGTGAAGACCAGAGGTGCCTCGCCACGTGGCGCATAGCAATGTGCAAACCAGGTGGCGGGTAGTGTGATATCGTTAAAGGGGGGACACGTGTAAATGGAGCCCATGCATCGGATTTATCAGAGTATGATTTGGGGAATGTGGGCTTCCTCGACCACCAGCCCCGTGTATGGGAAAACACTATCATTCCGTTTGTTTCGCCAACAGAAGCACTATGATGCACACATGACACCATGTGTCATTCCGCTCAATTCATGCGTAGCTGCCCATACTCCATCGTTTGTGCAAAAGCCTCCTGGGCGCCGAGGGATATCTCAACGGCGGACTCACGGAGAAGTGGCACGAACTTGGTTCAGATACTAACTTGCCACAAGTGATCACCGACATCTCTGCGAGAACGTGCATATATATTCAGCCTCCTGATGAGTCGGTGAAACTCCGACGAAACAGTTTGTCACAGCCCCCCTCGTTTGTTGTCCTCTTCTCCCTCCCTCCCTCTCTGCCTACGGTTTACCGGGCAGCTCTGTTTGACGATATATATAAACCGTAGGCAGAGAGGGAGAAGAGGACAACAAACGAGGGGCTGTGACAAAGATAGATAGATAGATATATATAACAGCCCCTCGTTTGTTGTGCTCTTCTCCCTCTCTGCCTACGGTTTACCGGGCAGTTCTATTTGACGATATATATATGCCTACGGTTTACCGGGCAGTTCTATTTGACGATATATATATCGTCAAATAGAACATATATATATATATATATATATATATATATATATCGTCAAATAGAACTGCCCGGTAAACCGTAGGCAGAGAGGAAGAAGAGGACAACAAATGAGGGGCTGTGACAAACT